GGTGAGGGTCTGTGGAAGCTGCAGTGTAATACCACCTGGAGTGCAAAGATTCCCCAACCCTGCTACAGATTTCATTTCCTTTTCTTTCACCCCAAGGAAATTATTAATAGCTACTGCCTAAACTAACAAATAAGCAGAGGCTGCATCTACATTGCAGAATAGATGCAGTTTGACACCACTTTAACTGTCATGACTCAATGCTATGGAATGCTGGGATTTATATTTTTGTGAGATGTTTAGCCTTCTCAGTCAGAAGGCTAAATATCTCAGTCACAACAAACTACAAATCCCAGGATTCCATAGCATGGAGTTAAAGCAATGCCAAACTCCATTAATTCTGCAATGTTACAGCAGCCAGAGCTTGAAAAAGTTTAGTTTGGGGGATTATAAGTCCCAGAATTCCAATGTCAGCTCAGAGACCAGGCTGGCTGGTGGATTTCTGGACTTGGAGTCTTAAAAAAGTTACTTTTACCAGCTCTGTTCTTTTTTTATATGTTAACAAGTTGTTAATTCCAGTTGGGTAGTGTTTGGGAGAGCAACTAAAAAGGAGACAGATTAAAAAAAAGGGCATCTGACAGACAAGATGCTTATAGTTTCTGGACAAAGAAGAAGACTTTGTGTGCATCCTCCCCTCACCCTTTATTGTCATTCCACCCTTTGGTTTAGGCTGTGGCTTCTTATAAATTTGTTATAAATATATATGGATGAATAGTTAAGAGGAGAACATAGAAAAGAAATAGGACCTTGGATAGGACCTTGGCCTATTTTATATAGTTCATCCCAACTAGAGTAAACCCATTTCATCAGTGGAACTTGATTCACCAAATTCCCATTGGTTCAATGGATCTACTCTAGTTGGGACTAACATTGGCTGTGGGAATGGGACCAAATTATAATTATATTCCAAAGGTTAATTTCATGCACCTTAATGCCATTGTAAATAGTCTTCTGCTTGAGTCTGGCTGCTTCTGGGCTTTGGATGCAGAAATCCCATTCACTGAAGATTCTGGCACTGACACATGGCTTGAATTCCCTCCGTAATATCTGCCAATGCATAAAGTTGGCCACGATCCTAGATGTTGGGGCGGCAATAGAGAGTATCATAAGCAAGCAAGAACTTTCACAGGCCAAAATAATTTATTTTTCCACAAGAATTATAGAAATCAGTGTTCAGGATAAGAATATGTCACACTATGAAAATTGGCATATAACTTCAGAGGATATGACTCAACATGGGTAACAAGTATCTTCAAGGTAAAAGAAATGTCATTTACTTGATATGAAAATTGACATATAACTTCAGAGAAGACACTAGTGAAGGTGGGAACATAGCAGTAGTTTAGTACAGCCTTCCCAATCCAACTATAGCACTCATCATCCCCAGCCAAAGAAGAAGGACCATCAGACAAGATACTTAAAAGATTAGGGAAAGGAAAGGTTTGCAAGCAGATTAGTTGGAATCCCTCCTGTGAATACTTAAGGGCTCAGTGAGGAAAGAAACTGAGATATTGAGCACAGAGAAGGCTAAGCACATGTATTATAACAGGTTGCTAGTACAGGGAATTTTGTTGCAATAACCTTATTATAGAAAAGATAAGGGATTAAGAAATAAGGAAGAGAAGTTTTGCTTACGTGTTTTGTTTCCATGAGTGCATATAACTGTGAGTATTATTGGGCAGTGCATGTTCTATTCCCAACATAAAAACATTATTTCCTTTCCAGGGAATGTTATTTGATCTGGGGTGGGTTAACAATATGTAATCCTAACTACATGTGAGATGTATGGAATAGATGACTTTTTGAGATGCTACCAGGAAGAAGTCGGCGTTTGACCCAGACCATAAAGTGTTACCTATGTTGATTCCTCTCTTCCCTGAACCCTTTGTTGTGAAACTTATTGTGTTTTTCCTGATCCTTTCTCAAACTCATACCTTCATGCCTTCTAAAAGCCCATCTTCTCTACCAGGGGAACTTACTGCTGGAAGATCCAAATGAAGCAGGCAAAGAGGTATCCCAAGATGCTTAGCAGGTAGGCTAAATGCACATTGTAGTGGTTGTTTCTATCCTGTTTCACATTATAAGCACCATAGAACAGGTAGGAATGTTCCAGAGGGCCCTAAGAAGGAGAGACATAAGAAGAAAAGTGAAACAAGCCAACCCTCCTCTTATGTTTGCAGATTAAGTGGACTCATAATCACTTCCTAAGAGCTTTCAAAGGCTGGTGTAAAGTAAGGACAAACTTTATATAGAAACCAGCCTTCCCCCCAACTCACCTTAAGTTCCCTCTACCTGGCTCCAAGATACATTCCTCTACTCCAGTGCAGATTATTATACTTCCAAATGCATTCCCTTTCTCCATCCCTAATTTATAGTCACATAATCAAGCAGTAATTTGTTCTCCCATCTTCCCAGCACAGCTAATCTCCAGGTCATTTTTCCTGTAGACTCACTTCTCCGGTGAAGATGTCCTGGAAGTGTTGCCAGACAGATCGATGACCAATGCCACTGCTGTAGTTCACGCACTCAGATGCTATGAGAAAGTATAGGGTAGCTTTAGGGTTAGGTATTCCAGTACTCTGTTGTCAGGAAGTGTAGGGTTTAATCCATTTGGAGTGTTGGGGAACAAACTAATGCAACCTTGCCCAACCAAATGTCCCTCCTGCCACATAATTGATGGCACTTCCCATCTTACCTGACCACTTGTCATGCTAGCTGGGGGGATGAGAGTTGTAGGGCATCAGGTTAGGGAAAGCTGTTTTGATGCTTGGGATCTTTGAAGGTATAAGCACGGACTTACCTGCACTCTGATTGCGAGGAAAGGGAGTCACATCCCAAGAAATGGTAATAGGCAACAATATGAAACCTGCATCCAGTAGCACAGCCAGGAAGTTGACAAGAAACAGGAACCTCAAGAAGGTGAAATAGGACTGGATTCCAGGGCCAAAGTTTCCTGTATGTAGTGGTGGATGTCAAAAGTGGGTAATTCAGGCAGATAGGCACAGAACAGCTAACATCAGAAGGCACGGAATAAATCCAGTCCCAAATCTACAGGCCTACTCTTCCTTCACATATGAGGTTGTCACTTGGTGAGTTTTAATCTAGACCTCTTGGGGATTCTCCCTGCTGACCATTTTGTTTAGTTCAGCTTCAGTTCCAGTCACTGGAACGTATGTTTTAAAATATTTAACATATCCATAGTTTCTTGTGGGGGAAGATATTTTTCTTCAGACACCACATGCCTTCTTTCCCTTTATACATAACAAATACAAATACAAATGATGGCCCCAGGGTCACACAAAGGTAGGATCCAACTACTTTGAAGTAGGGGCCCTACTGTTACTCATAAAGTAGGACACAATTTTCCCTCTCAACAATCTTTGCAGCCAATCAGCCTCTAGAGGTCACTCTTGCTCCATACCAGCCTGGCTAGTGGTTAGATAGAGGGGCTACTGGCTCAGTTGGCATGAAGGTGCTGCACACAACCAGCCTTTATAAACCCATTTCCTTCTCAAGACAGAGAGATTTTCTTTTCCTGGGAGCACAGCACTTTGGGTACACTCCATTTAGCTATAACTTTAAATATTGACATAATCTCCAACCCAGCCAATATTTTATCTTCCAACATTTCACTGATGAAAACTGGGGCATATGTGGCCAAGCAACATTAAAGTATGGTCAAGATGGCAAAAAAGTGTTAAAGAAGAAGAACAGATGAGCTGGGAGAAGCTGCAGCGGTTTGCTTTTGCTGAGCCTGCTGGGAAGGGCAAGATTTTGTGTTCTCCTTTCCTCTCCCTCCTGCTGAGTTAATTGAATCCAACTAATTTTGCACTTTAAACTCAGTTTGCACCATCCAAAGTGAGCCAAGGACAAAGGGGGAAAGTAGGAAGGAAAGAGAAACTGGACATTTTAAAGGTAGCTGTAAAAGTGGAATTCTAGGGGATTAAGTGGTAGAGCCCCTGCCAAATCAGGGTGGTTGGAGGGTATGCAGTGGGTACCAGTGATATTTCTTGAGTGGATTTGGTTATAAAGCTGAAAACCAGTTCCGCCTTACCTCCAATCTCATCCAGAGAAACCTTCCAGAGTCGGAAGATCCTAGCAAAATTAGAGATGCCCTCTTGAAGCTGCCTCTGGACCCTGTATTGTCTTTGTCTCAAGGCCACCCAGTTGGACACATTTCTCCCTGTGGATGCTCTCAGTTGCTTTCTGCAAGGAGATATGACTGAGTTTTCAAAATCTATACGGGTTAGGAGAAGACCACACATTTCAACCCCTGTTGAGAATCTCCACACACATAATCCCAACACAGGCCAGATTATTATTCTAATCAACGTATTAAGTATATAAATTTTCACTTAATTCATTTTCATCTGAAACATTTCAAATTTTTCTCCCTGTTGAATAAGATCCTGATAATTTGTATACATTTTTTCAAAAAACCCCTTGCATGAAGAGTTTTTGCACAATAAAGGACTTTTTTAAAAAACAACAGAAAATACTTTTGATGCTACCGTACTTTGTTTTTAAAAGCAGAGGCACCAGGGGGGTTGTTTGCCTTTTTTTTTTAATGATAGATAATATTTTCCATCTCAACATGTTGTATGCGTGTGATTTGCTTAACAAAAGGAACAAAAGAGTGGTTTCAGGCAGAGGCTTCTTGACCAAAGTATGGCAATTTAGGACAAAGAACATTGCTGGGCTTTTTGCCTCTTACAGTGGAGAAATATCTTGTAGTTGTTAATCGTTTTTCTCACTGGGTGTGTTGACATGTCAAGACATGTGAACTCTCAAGACATACTCTCACCTAGAACAAGAAAATTAGCAAATATTATGTTCCCATTACATATAGACAGACAGTATGACATAGTTGGACTATGGTTCTGGAGTTATTGTTGCTGTGTACTTTCAAGTTGTTTCTGACTTGTGGCAATCCTAAACTGTTTTCTTGGCAAGATTTGTTCAGAGGAGAGTTGCCATTACTTTATTCTGAGGCTTGTTTCCATGGCTTAGGCAGGGATTTGAATCCTGGTCTCCAGAGTCATAGTCTGCTGCTTAAACCACTACTCCATGCTGGCTCCCTTCCGACTCTGAAGTCCAGGGTTCAAATCCCTGTTTATCCATGGAAGCCAGTTGGATGACCTTAGGCAAATCACATTCTCTCAGCCTCAGAGACAAACTCCCTCTGAACAAATCTTTGACCTGTTATAGGGTCTAAGTCAGAAACAACCTGAAGACACACAGCAACAACAATTATATATAGCTTCCCCCATTCTTTTTATCTTATTTGTCTGCATGTCTCTGCACAGCCACTGTGCTGTACAGAAACCTGCAATAACAGGCATGGGGAACTTTTGGGTCTTCAGAAGTTTTGAACTCCCACAGTCCTTCACCATTAGCAATTGGGACGAATGGGACTTATCTGTGTGGCTCAAGGTTTGCTATTGCTATGCCACAAGATGAATGGCAGACCTAAACCAAAACAGCTCAAGTGGATGAAATATAGACCTTGTCCTTTTCTAAGTAGGCTACAACTTCCAGTCTACATCAGAGAGAGAAAAACTAATCATACTGGAAAAGCTGAAGCACTTTTCCTGCCAAATTGTATGAAAGTGCTTTCCAGACAGAAGGCTTTGGCCGTTATCAGTCAAAAGATATTATGGCATTATTCCATGTATTCTTCCTTTAATGGATTTTCTATGCCAAGAAAAAAAGATGCCAGCAGCCATAGCAAAACACAGGTAGTTTAGAAGTGGAATAAGACATCATCTGGATACCTTGTAAAATTCTGTGAATGTGCCAGGGCAACTGCATTATTAAAAGCTTTACCTGAAAGTCCCCTATGCCATTTTGCCTTTGTTTTGCTTTTAACCCTAATACTATGGGCTTAAGTGCCTCACTCCATTACAGCAAAAAAATTCAAAGACAAGCCGCGTTAGTCTCGAAAATTAGTATGCAAAGAGATCTTGTAGCACCTTTGAAACTAACTGCTCAAAGGTGCTACAAGATCCCTTTGCACCAATTACAGTGAGATTGTGCAACACTAATTATGTTCTCCGCCATGATCCCACTCCTGACCTGAGGGATTGTTTCTTCTTTATGGAGTAGGGCAGGGCTCTGAGCTGTGACTCTTGGATATCTAGTTTCTCCAGGGAGTATTCCAGGCTGGTGTTTGAGTGAACAGATAGAGCATCATGCTGGACAAATCTGTACCGTAGATCCTGTGTATCATCCATCACATCAGGTCCCTGAAACAACAAGAAGAAAGGCAGGCTTGGGAGGCCTGGTGATAGAAACGGGTAGTCCATTTGGTGATCTTCAGATGTTTTGAATTATAACTACCAAGATCTACAAAGAGCAATGACAATGGTCAGGACTTAAGCATCCAAGCACCAAGTTGTCTACCACCTTGGACTCAAGATGCCTCTTTCATCTTTTGACTTGACACATTGTCTGCTAATGGCTCACAACTGCCTTTGAGGTTCTACCACTGCAGCCCAATATCTCACTTATCTTCCATTATGTTTGGCTGGATGTGTACTGGTTTGAATGGATTTAAATCCCCACCCAGCCATGAAAACCCACTGGGTGACCTTAGGCAAGTCATAATTTCTCAGCCTGAGAGAATGGCAAAGGCAAAGGCAAACATCCTCTGAAGAAACTTTCCAAGAAAACCCTGTGATAGGTTCACTTTAGGATTACCATAAGTCGGAAACAACTTGAAGGCAAACAACACACATTCACACACACACAGAATACAATATGTCTACATCTCCAGTGATTATTTGCTATTTAAAGTTGCATATTGAGAGTGAAACCGTAACAAAGAAAAATTGAGTACAATCATAAAATCCTGTCTGGACCCATTTTAAAAAGGAACTTGGAGCAAACCTTAGTATTAGGGGGTACAGCAGTTACAACAACGTTATATCTAGGATCTCTTGACGTCTCTTTCCTAAATTGGCTAACAAATTAATCTTTTACATACCACCTGAAACCAAGTTGCATTCTCTGGGAGCAATTCTGTCCTCGTTCTTGTTTTTGCAGAGAGCCTCAGTCCCCAGAGTGCTTCAGGTCAGCCCTCCATACAGTCAGCTCTGAAGAAAGAAAAATAGTGTTATTGCAACTTGTTGCTTCACTTTCCTTTCATACCCCACCCTCCAGCTGGCCATTCCTTGTCTGATCATTTTAACATATGCATGTGAGCCATACAGTTTTGTCACAGAAAGGGAGAAAAACAATTCACCCCAATTTTTCTGCTTGCATAGGGATTACCTTCAACTTGCACTCTGGAAGAAAAACAACAGCAATCCACCCCTTGCAATTTTAGCTCCTTAGGTCAGGTAGTCCTGCAGCACCAAATTGTGAGGGTGAACTCTACTCTAACTATGTGGCTTTCTCAGGGGGAAAAGTGGAAAAAAAACTGAAATGTAAGCTATTCACCCCAATTGTGGGTGTTCATTGCTTGTATGAAGAGATAAAGGCAAACCAATGTGACAGGAAGAGGCCATTTCCTGAACTGCAGCTAGTCAGAGTATGTGGGAGGTATGTTGCAATTATTGTTACATTCATTTGTTGTTGTAGTTGTGTGTCTCCAGGTCATTTTTGACTTTGGGCAACCCTAAAGCAAACCTATCATGGGTTTTCTTGGCAAGTTTCTTCAAAGTGGGTTTGCCATTGCCATCCTCTGAGGCTAAGAGAGTGTGACTTGTCCAAGGTCACCCAGTGGGTTTCCATAGCCAAGCAGAGAATCGAACCCTGATCACCAGAGTTCAGTTCCATGCTCAGCTATGGAAACCCACTGGTTGACCTTGGACAAGTCACACTCTCTTAGCCTCAGAGGATGGTAATGTCCAACACTCAAGCTGGCTCTCACCTTGTTTTAACATGGCGTGGTGATGAGGAAGGTAGAGCAGTTTTCCGGTGAAGATCACCCTCACTGAGTGAATTCAAAGACATAGCCATGCTAGTTTAGATTAGTAGGCAAACTTGTAGCACTAACCAAGAGAGAAAAAAGAATTTGGTAGCATAAGCTTCTGGAGACTTCCATCTACTTCCCCCAGTCTACTTCTACTCAGGTGTCCCAGCATTTCTTACAGTTTATCCACACTGCAGAAATAAAGCAGTGTGACGCCACTATCATGGCTCCATCCTATGGAACCCTAGGATTAGTAGTCATGCGTGGCATTCAACTTGGTTTGTCAGAGAGCTCTGGTGCTTCACCAAACTACCGTACACATCTCAGGATTCTGTAGGAAAGAGTCATGCCAGTTAAAATGGTGTCAAACGGCTTTATTTCTGCAGTGTGGATATACCCTTAGTTGTACTTGTGCTTGGAAAAAAGCCAAAGCTTGGAAATAACATGTTTTTGGATTACATGTCCCAGAATCCCTCAGCCCATGGCCAGACTTATTAGAGGATTCTGGCAACTGCAGTCCAAAAACATAACGCACCCAGGCTCTGGAAGAACCCTATTGCCATGTTCTAAAGATGTCAGGAAACCTGCCGATGAAATATATATACACACACAAATCAACACTTTACTCAGCTTTGATTGTTGCTTGTATAAAATATTGACATGTTTTTGAATTACATGTCCCAGAATCCCACAGAATCTTTCCAAATCTGTGATCCTGCTATAAATATTTTCCATCCCCAATCATAAAAAAATAAAAGATAGAGCTACTCAGAAAATCTTCGTGTTTGCTTTGGTTGCTGTTTTTAAGTACCTGGCCAACACTACATTGGGATTTTCTTTCTTAAAAAGTTGAAATATATATAATTCCCTGTTTACTTTTCCTAAATGTTCCTGGGAATCTATATTTTATTTACACAGAGAAAGGGGTATTATTGTTACATTCATTTGTTGTTGTAGTTGTGTGTCTCCAGGTCATTTTTGACTTTGGGCGACCCTAAAGCAAACCTATCATGGGTTTTCTTGGCAAGTTTCTTCAAAGTGGGTTTACCATTGCCATTCTCTGAGGCTAAGAGAGTGTGACTTTGTGAAGCTGCTTTATGAAAGTGGGAGCTCCTTTATGAAAGTGGGAGTTCAACCCAGCATGCAACTCGGGAAGGAATTCTTAATATTGTCTTTTTCGTATTGCATAATTACGCTAGAAATGTGGAGTGCACTGCTAAAGATGTTTACTTCTGATTAAATCCCACTGAGTTCAGCAGGGCTTACTCCCAAATTAACATAGGAGCTTATTGCATACTTAAATAATACATCTTACCTGATGGGGTTTAAAATTTAAATCAGGCTGATCTTACCTGATGGGGTTTAAAATTTAAATATTATCAGAAGGATTTAGCCACCAAATTCACTGCCTAGGTCCATCCTGGGTCCATACCCGCTCACAGGGGCGCTCAGTGTGGCTCTTTTCGAAGCCGGGAGATAATATCAGAATGCCACCCGATTTAAATTTTAAACCAAATCAGGTGAATCGTATTATTTAAGTATGCAATACACGAGGTTGCAGATTTAAATTGGTTTAACAGGCATTTCTTCCCAAGGACCCTTGTGAATGGTCATTTTGTGAGAGAGAATCAAGTCAGAGTTCTCAGCACTCTTTTCATACCAAATCAGACTGTGGTCAAGTTGGCAAAAGTTATGAATGAGGAAGAACACAAATGCTAGGCAAGGCTGCAACACTTTGCTTTTGCTTGAGCTGACTGGGGAGGGCAAGATTCTGCCCCTCCGCTTCTCCCCCCCCCCATTGAGTACAAACTACTTTTGCACTTTGAAATCAATTTGCAGCAATTGGTTAAGATGAGGATAAAGGGGGAAGTGGGATAGTGATGGAGGAAAGAGAAACTGGCCCATTCACACTATGAAAATAATCCAGGATGAATCTGGGTTGAATCCTTGTTGTTCACACACATCCCAAATGCATTCGATGCACTTATTTTGTGGGGGGCTGGCAAAAAAGAACATTTAACCCGGGATATCTGATACCATTTTTTCCACCGACTTTTTCTGAAAGATCTGCATCATTGACAGTGTGAATAATAGATAATAATAATTCCGAATAGATTCGGATCACTTTGTAACGTTCCTTTGAAGAGAGGCAGCTCCGTTTTAACCCAAAACAATGACATGTGTGAATAACACTAGGGTTAAAATGACTTGAAGAGATTTGCGAACACAAAACAAAATGGGAACAACAAACCCAATATTATCAGTGTGGCGATCTGCATCTCCCCAGGACAAAAAAAATGAGTGTGAATGGGACGTTTTAAAAGCAGCTGAAACCATGAGATAACAAGAGATGAATCAGGACTGTCCTTGCCAAATTGGAAGAGTCGGAGGGTATAGTTTCCAAGATCCCATGGTGGCAATCTAAAATTATGTAAACCAAAGTGTGCATACCCTGTGTCAAGAATGGACTAATGTTGCTCCATGAAGACAATGGTGCAAGAGGCTGATTTGGAGGCACCTTAGCAAAGGAAGGGGAGTCTCTATATTGGGAGAAAGGTGGGATATAAGAAAATCATCATCATCATCATCATCATCATCATCATCATCTGCAAGTTATTTCTCTCAGTTCAAGCCCTTCTTCCTGAGAGTAGTGTTCCCCCAGATTGGTCTGCAGTCATTCCCAAACTTTGCTCCTCCAGATGTTTTGAACTTTAGCTCCCGGACTTCCTATTGGGCCAGCTGGGGCTTCTGGGAATTGAAGTCCCAAACACCTGGAGGAGCAAAAAGGTTGGGAACCAGTGCACCTGGCAAGCACCAGAGCACAGGATGGGAGGGAGAGAGATCAAGCCGCTTGGGCACAGTGTGAGCCAAACCCTGAGGCAGAAGGTTCCCCTTTCAAGGCAACCCGAAGCCAAGCGGAGAGGACCTTGCTCCAGGGGGGTGCTTCAGAGAGCAGAGGACTACAGCTCCCAGCGTCCTTTGTAGTACAGGTGAGGCCCAGGGAGGGGTCTGGCGGGGAGGAGAAGTTTTCTGGCTCTTTAGTCGCCGGAGAAGGAAGGGCCAGTCCTCGCCTGGGAAGCCAGCTCCTTTCCTTTCCTCCATTGGGTGAGCAGCCCCTGGGCTTTTCCCCATCCTCTGCTGCCCCTGGGAGGAGGATGGGGAGAGGAGTCCCGGTCATCCCAGCCTTTCTGCGGGGGAAGGCAAAAGTTTGGCTCGAGCGGGAGAAAGAAGCTATTGGCGATGTTTGGTGCTCCTGGGCTCAGCAGGCTCCTTCCTCCTGCACGAACACACACACACACACACACACAGCCCTCGTAACCACATGAAATTCAACAGGGAGGAACGTCAGGTAGGGAGGGCACTTAGGAAGAAGAAATATATGAAAGGCATAGATCCAGGATGGAGGACACACCTGGCTCAACAAGGCTACACGTGAAAGGGGTCTAGGAGTCCTAGTAGACCACAAGGTGGACTTGAGTCAAGAGTGTGATGCCGCAGCTAAAAAGGCCAATGCGATTCTAGGCTGCATCAATAGAAGTAGTAGTGTCTAGGGCGGGTTGCAGACTGCCAGAAATAGTGCAGATTGAGTCCACTTTTAGGGTTAGGGTTACTGCTAGGGAATCATGGGAAGTGTATTTTATTGTGGCACCAGAGCTCTCTCACAGAGAAGGCTCAATATCTCAGGGGGAAAAAACAATTCCCATGATTCCCTAGCACTAACCCTAACCCTTAAAGTGGCCTCAATTTGCACTATTTCTGGCAGGGAAGGAATAGTGCCACTCTATTCTGCTTTTGGCCAGGCCCCACCTGGAATCCTGTTTCTAGCTCTGGGCACCACAATTCAAAAAGGATGTTGAGAAGCTGGAGAGTGTCCAGAGGAGGGCAACTAAAATGGTGAAGGGTCTGGAAACTATGCCATATGAGGAGAGGCTTAGGGAGCTGGGTACATTTAGCCTGGAGAAGAGACCGCTAAGAGGTGATATGATAGCCCTGTATAAGTGTATGAGGGAATGTCATGGTGAGGGGGGAGCAAGCTTGTTTTCTGCTGCTACAGGGAATAGGACACAGAACAATGGGTGCAAACTACAAGAAAAGAGATTCCACCTTGACATTAGGAGGAACTTCTGGACAGCAGTGGAGTCTCCTTCTTAAGAGGCTGTTTTTAAACAGAGGCTAGAAGGCCATCTCTTGGGGGGGGGTTGCTTTGATTGTGAGTTCCTGCATGTCAGAATGGGGTTGGACTGGTTGGCCCTTGAGCTCTCTTCTGATTCTGTGATAATGATTCTATGATGTCACCAGGATGGGGGATTCCCAGGCAATGGTCCTTGGTAGTCCCAAGAAAGTGAGTCAAAAATTACCAAAGGATGCCTCTGGGAATGTGCTAAAGAGGATGCAAGCATGCCTTTGCAGCAGGAGCAGGAGTTTAGCTTGTCCACGGAGATAAAACTACCAGTTCCCAAGGGAATTGTTACTTGGATTGAGCTAGGAATGTATTTTTGAAAATAAAAGAAAACATGTTTCTCACACCTTTCTGTGAGACAGAACATCTTTCTGGAAAGATTGAAGTAATGGTTTTGTTGTTGTTGTGTGCCTTCAAGTTATTTCTGACTTTTGGTGACCTTAAGCCTGGTGTTTTCTTGGCAAGATTTATCAGAGCAGGTTTGCCATTGCCGTCTCTGAAGGTGAGAGGGTGTGACTCACCCAAGGTCACCCAGTGGGGTTCCACAGCCGAGCCAGGATTGAAACCCTGGTCTCCAGAGTCACAGTCCAATGCTCAAACCACTATGCCATGCAGGGTTTCAGAAGCAATATATGGTAAGCAAAAGAATTCAGAAATATAGTCATATTAGTCTGTAAAATCAGTATGTAGAGAGATCTTATAGCACCTTTGAGGTTAAGTGAGAAAAAGAAGTTGGCAGCATGAGCTTTCGTAGACTTACATCTACTTCCTAAGGTGCATCTGAGGAAGCAGAATTAAGTCTACAAAAGTTCATGCTGCAACTTCTTTCTTTCAGTCAGTTTCAAAGGCGCTACAAGATCTCTTTGCATACTGATAGGCAAAAGAGTGGCTCTTGTCATTGCAAATGTGAAAATTTTAGTGTTTTGTTTTTCTTGATTAGACACTCCAGTATAGTGAAGTTTCACTTATTTCAGCCCAGTTATTGCATTATTTGTTGTTCTTGTTGTGTGCCTTCAAGTCATTTCTTACTTATGGCAACCCATATGTATCACTGGGTTTCCTGGAGCTGAGAATGTGTGACTCGTCCAAGGTCACCCAGTGGGTTTCCATGGCCGAGCAGGGAATCGAACCCTGGTCTCCAGAGTCATAGTACTTCAACGCTTGAACCACTACACCATGCTGGTCCATTGCATTTTTTTATTTGGAGTAAAAAAAAAAAAATGAAGGAAGGGGTGAAGTTTCTAGTATGCTAAATATATCTCATGGTGTATTATGATGAAAAATATAGCTTTACTAATTATAGGGAAGACTCGGGTACAAAAAACCTTGGGAAACCCTTTATTTTCATTATGATTTTTGAAGTGACTCATATGTTTTCTCTTGCATGGAATGTTTCTGATTAGTAGAGATAGCTGTGCTTGAAATTTCACCCACTCTGGAACCCTGTTTGAACAATTTAAAATAACATCCATGTCTAAAGTCAATGTACTTTAAAATAACTGTACTAAACATGTTTTAAAAATATGCTTCTGAGTAAATAGGCTAGGGTCTTCAGCACTGAGTATAGAGAGGCAGAATTGGGGAAGGCTGTGTGTGGTGGAGTGATGTTTTCTGAATCCTACTTGGATATCCCAAATTATTTCCAAGCGGATAATTTGAAGGGGATGGCTGTGGAGGGGGGGAGTGTGCACAGAAAAGGGTGGAAGATGAGCCTGCAACCGGTACTGCCTGGCACAGCCAGAACAGAAAGCCTGGGGAGGCATGCAGCCTTTCCATTATCACAGAATCAGCTGCGCAGGGAGGGAAAGAAAGGATATAATGGTGCATCACAGAAGCTTGCCTTGGTGGTTTGCTCTAGACAGGTAGGTTGGATCTAGTAGCCCTATTGGTAAGTCTGTAGCTTCTTGTTTGGGGAATGGGAGCTACCAATCACTCTAAGGGCAAAAGCTACCAACTACCGTACATCCCTCCTTAAGTGTTGTGCTGAATTGGCAGGGGAAGAATTATCCTTGGAAGAGGCAGGGATCAGTTTTCTGGAATCACATACCTCTAACTGCAGGACGCCAGGCATTTCTACAACACTGCCTATGTTGCCTGACTGCCAGCTCAAATCAAACTACCCCCACCAATACATCCAGTGTGTAGAAGTGAAAAGGCCCCATAGTGCCGCTTGTGATACCCAAGGTTAGAGCCATGTTTTTGTTGTTGTTATCAAGTGGATCTCAACCCATGGCAACCCTGTAGATGAGACATCTCCAAGACTTCCCATCTTCCACTGCTCTGCTCAGTTCCTGCAAATTCATACCTGTGACCTCTTTTATAGAGTCCATCCATCTAGCATGCGGCCTTCCTGTCTTTCTGCTTTCCTCCACTTTTCCTAGCATTTTCCAATGAGTCGTGCCTTCTTATGATGTGGCCAAAGTACAACAACATCAGCTTTCTCATCCTGGCTTCCAGGGAGATTTCTGGCTTGATTCAGTCTAGGACCTATTTGTTTGTCTTTTTAGCTGTCCATGAGATACTCATTATCAATGACTTCAATGATGACTTGGATGAAAGAATAGGAGGCATGCTTATCAGATTTGCAGATGACACCAAATTAGGAGGACTAGCTAATACCCAAAGGACAGGATGAAAATTCAAAATGACTTTAATTGATTAGAAAGCCCAGCCAAAGCTTAACAAAATTAATTTCAACACAGAGAGAAATGTAAGGTACTGCACTTAGGCAGAAGAAATGAAAGGCATAGATATAGGATGGGGGACACCTAGCTTAACGATACTATGTGTGAAAGGGATCTAGGAGTGCTAGTAGACCACAGGTTGAACATGAGTCAACAGTGTGATGTGGCAGCTAAAACAGCCAATATGATTCTAGGCTACATCAATAGAAGTATAGTGTTTAGATCAAGAGAAGTAATAGTGCCACTCTATTCTGCTTTGGTCCGGCCTCACCTAGAATCCTGTGTCCAGTTCTGGGCACCACAATTCAAAAAGGATGTTGAGAAGCTGGAGAGTGTCCAGAGGAGGGCATCACCAAAATGGTGAAGGGTCTGGAAACCATGCCTTATGAGGAGAGACTCAGGGAGCTGGGTATGTTTAGCCTGGAGAAGAGACAGCTAAGAGGTGATATGATAGCCCTCTTTAAGTATTTGAAGGGGTGTCATGGTGAGGAGGGAGCAAGCTTGTTTTCTGCTGCTCCAGAGAATAGACACAGAACAACGGATGCAAGCTCCAGGAAAAGAGATTCCACCTCAACATCAGGAGGAACTTCCTGACAGTGAGAGCTGTTCAACAGTGGAACACACTCCATCGGAGTCTGGTGGAGTCTTCTTCCTTGGAGGTCTTTAAACAGAGGCTGGATGGCCATCTGTTGGGGATGGTTTGATTGTGAGTTCCTGCATGGCAGAATGGGGTTGGACTGGATGACCCTTGTGGTCTCTTTCAACTCTAGGATTCTATGATTCATTACTCTTCTCCAGCATCACACCTCAAATGAATTGATTTTGTTCCTATCATCTTTCTTAACTGTCTAGCTCACACATCCATATATGGTAATAGGGAATACAGTGGCTTGTACAATTCGTAACTTTCATGCTTAGTTGAGTTGTATATCTTTATATTTTAGGAACCTTTCTAATTCTTTCATAGCTGCCCTTCCCATTATTCGTTTTCTTATGATTTCTTGCTTGCTGTCCCTGCTCCAAGAGCCATGTGGCCAGGCCTTATTGAGGTGTAGGCAACATGTGGTCCTTGCTCATGGACTTTTGTAAATGGCCACTCTGGAAAGCCTCCTGGAGAAGCCATTCACCTTTTAAAAGGTGGGCAACTTAAGTGGGCCTGGGGAAAACAGCCCCCCATTAAAGTTTGACCAAAAAAAACCCACCAGTTGTTAAAAATCAAAAGTGTGCTTCCAGCACTGTATGTTTTGTCTTTTTATATTTGTGGCAGTTTGTGTGCCCTCCTAAGGGTCCCAGGGACAGAAAATTAGGTCCCAGATCCACTTAGGATGCCCATCCTCTCTGCCTTATTGGGTGAAAAGGCAAGAGTTGTTTTGATCTTTTTGGAGGGCAAAGGTGGGGAAACCTTTGGCCTGCCTCA